CTGTTTCCCGATTTGTGACCAAATCTTTCTCTTTAAAAACTATATAACTCGATTATTCATATCTTACGTTGATCAGTGTGTCAGTTTACACTATTTTGTGCTCTCTATGATATTCAACACTTGCCTTACATAACTTTTCAGGGCATTTTCCCCAGACCTTATCATCCATCTTCATTACACTCATCTTGACATGTTCAAGATTCAAGATCGGTTTATAGGGTGTATAAACTGATTGGTCACCATCGGGTCAGACAGCTGCCAAGAAGGGGAAACCCAGAAAGGGAGAAAATAAAACTTAGAGTACAGGTGTTGAACTCCAGGCCTCGAGGGCCGGTGTCCTGCAGGTTTTAGATGTGTCCTTGATCCAACACAGCTGATTTAAATGGCTAAATGACTCCTCAGCATGTCTTGAAGTTCTCCAGAAGCCTGACAATGGACTAATCATTTGATTCAGGTGTGTTGACCTGAGATCTAAAACCTGCAGGACACCGGCCCTCGAGGCCTGGAGTTTGACACCCCTGACTTAGAGTAATAAAGAAGGACCAATGCCTACCAAAATAAAACAGGAAATAACTCAAATTTAAACACCATACCATTCAGAAACCATCACATTATTAAAAAAAAACAAGGAAGAGAAAGGTAAACACAATTTGCTCAAACCTTATGAGAACATAGTCAAACTGGCTAAACAGCATTACCTTCTGTACTTCCATTTTTGTATCTATGAAACATTTTTCAATAAAAGGAAAAAGGAGGACACGGTGTGAAGATGCACAACTAATCAAGGTTTAGTTAAACAGGTGGGTCTTAAGCTTATATGAACTTTAGTATATTCATGCAAAGTTTGTCTGAGCAGTAAATCAGTATCAGAGTTGTAAAGGCACTGACCTGTGCAGTGCATGTTTTCATGTTGCTCTCTTTGTTTCCTGTTGGTGAATAACTGGATTTCACCTGTGTGCTGTAATCTGATCATGGTTCCTCCCTTAATGATGTAACGGTGGGAGGTTATAGAGCCACATGCATATATAAAAAAAAACACCCAGCACGCCCCTGCGGGCGGTTTATCCTTCAAGCTCGGGTCCTCTAC